TAATGAATATTTAGATAAAATATAAATAGATGTAAAATGTAAACAGATATTGTATATTTATTTTGTAATTAAATACCGTGTACAGAATAATTAAAATGACTGAATAGTAGCCGTTGGAGAAGTGCAGGTTTTTAGAATTAAATAATAAAAATGTTGAGTTGAAATTTGTTTATTACGCCACTTTATTTTTATTTTATAATGCGTTATGACCATGGTACAAATCAGTGACTTTCACAATAATAATAATCGAGTGAAGTTCAAGAGAATTTTACACTATTAACTCTGAAATGCATCATTAACAGGTTCGTCGTCGTCGTCGTCCTCCTCGCCTTCACTTTCAAATGTATTATCCGGAATATCGTACAATCTTATCATCGGCTTATTCGGATCCTTCATAATCAGATATTTCCCATCCTTTTGTTTCATACAAATGTCGATGATGCATCGTAAAATACCCCACGCATTGTCCATGTTGAGATTGATCTGCGTTGCGAATTCATTCGGCTTATACTGCTGCGTGCCCAGAATAACGTGTTTGCTAGAGTCTCTGACCATTGCTCTAGAAACGTATCCAAATTTCAATTGATCCGAACCAGCTAACAACGCCTGGACAGTCCACTTAGCTAACTTGCAGGCGTTATTGCGCAGCTCGTTTGCCAATACCGCACCGCGTTGAGTATCTAATTTCTGCCTCCATTCAACGCCGTTAGCCAGTTTCGAATCCCATTCGTTCAGAGCTTTGATCGTCAGGAATTGAATCTCGTTATTAGGCCCTTGCATCACGGCGTCGTGTTCGCATCTCGTGACGAGAACTATTCCGTTGTTCAAATCCCATTTTCTGTAACGATACGCGACGCTGGCAACATCGCCCTCCTCTTCCTCGGCGATGAACGGATTCCCTTCCTCGAATTTATATCTAGGTTCGTTGGATTTCAACACTTGCTGGGAGAAATTGTGATTAATGAACGTAGCTTCTAAAGCTAAATTCCTAGGCGAGTTTAATGAATTCCCGTCGTCCTGTGGAGGCTCGACGCTGGTCTCGTTCACGGTGAGAAGATCGAACTCCGTGTTGTCTCGCTTGTCGAAGAACAATTTATCTCCGATTTTCTCAATCACTATATCCCAAGAATAATTGCTGCGCGTGCAGCACATTATCGTTGCCAAAATTGCGTCCGTTGCGTAAACGTTTCCTTCGGTCTTCGAAAGCTTGCGAATAATAGGATCGTCGGTAGTTGTAACAGTATGGAAAATTCGATCGATCCTTTGCAGTGGCTTTTCATTCTTGACATTCACTCTGTCGTAAGTTTTATCATAGTATTCAAGAGAGCCGCAGCACAAGATGTCCTCTCCGTCTTTTACACCAGGTAAAGACAGTTTTGCCAAGCGTGGGAAGTCCATTTCTTCGATAGTCACCCAATCAGGCCTGACAGTGACAGACGCGTCACGGATTTTAATCGGCGGCTGATTCTTATGATTCCGTAGACCTTGCTGTCTACCCCATCGTTTAGTTTGCCCTTTACGATCTCTCTCACGGAGTTTCAATTTGCCAAGCTGCTGCATCTGATTCATCGCACCGCGTTGGCCTCCACGACCTCGCATATTCCTTTGATTGTGTCTGAAACGACCGCCACGTTGATAAGGCGGCTTCTGCACACGAGTCGTATCGACCAAGTGGAAGGTTGTTTCATCTTCATCATGGTAATATGCATATTGACTGCCTGATCCAAATTGTGATGTATATTTGTCTGGAAGAAATACAAAATTATGATATATGTTCTCTGTCAGTATACAGGTGGATAAGTGTTGAACAAGTTTGGAACGTAGCACTCACTAGGAAATTTCTTATCTTGGAAAGCTGGAGTGGTCCAGTCAGATATCTATGAACATAAATTGACAATGGAAGTACATAAACAATTTTTATTAACAGAGAAAACAAATTACAATTGTTACAAACCTTTCCCAACCTGTCGCCCTTCGAGAATGGTTGGTACGGTATATCCTTGAATTGATCGGGTAATTCACAAGGACCCCATCCGTCTGGATTATGCTGGACCACGGGCGGTTGAAAATGAGGAACTTTTTCCTCTTTCTGAACAGTATCCTCCAGAACAACCACGTCGTCCGTCATTCTGTACTTTCAATACGAACGAAGTCAGACACGGTGGCACCGCCTGCTTGCCGGAAAGACCGCCATTAGCAACGCCATATTACATATATATTAAAATACCGTTCACAGCTCAACAGCGAATTACTCCAATTATTTATTTTGTAGGAATTAGTTGTAAGCGAAATTTAATATATAAAGCGCTTTTGAATTCTGCGATTCATTAAATGTTTCAATAAAAATCTCAGATCTATTTCCATCCAGGAAAATTTAATTTCTGCATGTGTGCATGCCAAGTGGGTCGAGAATTGTTTTAGGTAGCGCAATATTTATTTTTATAATAAATATTATATTTATAATTTTTTATACTTATTGTACGAGTAAAAATCGGGTAGATAGAGATAGCAGCCAAGTTGGGAAGAGTAAAGATGGTTTCTTTTTATTTGTAATTCAGTATAAAAAATATTTGGATCTCATGCTGACAAAACTGAGGTGCCCGGCGCATAAATCTGCACCTGGCGATTTGATAACTTGTACATATATTTCGCTGTCTCTGGCCAGTTATACTTTATTCTTACATTATTTGTTCTCCAGTTAATTGTTATATTCCCAGACGCATCGCTAGAATATCCCGTTTGAAGAGGCTCAGTTTTAACAAGTAAATGAGCCATTCGTTTCAGGCCATTTACAAAGATATTAGGCGCACAAGCTTTTAATTCATTTTTATATGTATGTGCCACGATACAGAGTTGAAACAAAGGAGAATGTCCAAGAAACGATCTTAAATACCTCACGTAATACATAGATTCTTTCAAATCACAACCAAAATTATGGAAATGACTTATATCGTCGATAATAATGAGAACAGACGTACAGTCTTTCATTTTATCACATTCGCTTTTAATTGTCATAAATATATCACGAATCGTACTAGTCGGCTGTTCCTTCGTACATTCCATGTTTAATACAATAGCTTTCATAGGCTCTATGACTGTAACCTTGCCTTTTTCTTTTAGAGATGTAAGATTGTATCCAAATTTCATGCCCACATTGTGATAATGATTAAACGTATTATGGAAGATTACAAAACATATTCCATAATTTTTCCTCACGGCATTGAATATAATGGAACTCAGTAGAAAGTTCGCATTGCTGTTGTGCTGTTCTTCTATTAAAGTCAATTTCCCATTCATATCTACTTTATCAATGCCAAGCGTGTTACACACTGAATCCATTGTAAAGCAATTATATAATTGTTGTAACTGGAAAACAGGAAAACAATAGAATGCTTATAACTGTTTGTTGTACATATGCATACACATGGTTATGTGTGACATACATACATTTGTGCACTGTTAAATAACGCGAGTTTTATGCACCAACTCACCTGCTAGGTGAAAATTTATTATCTTTATGAACAACAGAATTTTATGTTCTGTACTAATGGTCTGACGCACATGCTTTTTATCTTAAATAGTCAAGTGCTAAATTGAGACATTTGCACACGGAGTGTTAGCGAGGGACCTTCAGAAAATATTCCTCATTTCCCGTTAAAGTCTAAATTGATAATTATATTTAAAAAATCGAAAGCTTTTCTTATAATGTCTTATAACAAAATGGTTGACTCTGGAACATAAAAAATTTGTACACTTTTAGTGCAATTATTACAATTTGTAAGAAACTCGGTCTTATGAAAGGGGAGTCAATAGTTTAGTGAAATTCTGCATACTAAGCGAATCTATTCAGGAGAAGGATCGCGCTGATAGGGAGATAATGGTAAGGTCCAGCTTTAAAACGGTGGTGTGGTGGGCAGAACACGTGGCCATCAGCTGATGCATGCGCGTTGGCGAACTCTCTCCAGGCTGTGCAAACGATGATTTTCGGTATTACATCAGTCGGAGCTCAGATATTTCAGGGATAGGCACGATCCAAAAATGATTTGCAAATTCTATTAAATGACACGACTCGTAGTAAGTTGCTCTCTTCTACTATACTTTATCACACATTTTTTACGTACACGTCTATCTTATCAGCGAGTTTTTACTTTAATACATTAATACAAAAATTGCATCTTCGTTACTTAATAATTACGCTTACACTTCATGTTTAAATTAATAAAAAATAATCTACGGATGTCAAAAACGTGTCTTGTAATTGGAGGCTTTTTACTTTTCTGTTAAGAATTCATTGCGGAAACGTACGCTTGTGTAAAACTGCACGTACATGTGTATTCGTACAGGGACAGGAAAAACCGTCCGTGTGCACTACTTGCAACTAACGAATTTAATTATTAACGAATCAGTTACGACAAAACATGCTTAATATTCATGTACGTGCAGTAAAATTATAATATGAACTTCGGAATAATGTCTGTAAACAATTAAGTAGGGAGCGTTAATTAAAAAATTGATAATTGTATAAATAAATGAATAAATGTTGTGTAATACTGTATATGTCTTTTACTTGTTTCATGAAAGTATAAAACACAAAAATATGACTGACAATCGAAAAAAATTATCAAGGTGGTACTTTGGTGGGCTTTCCTCTGCAGGTGCTGCTTGTGTTACCCACCCTTTAGATTTGTTAAAGGTATTTGTTACATATACATTCATTATTAAATACGTCCATTGATGCAACACCAAAATTTTATCTATATTTTACTACGTTAATAAAAACTAAGAATTACGAAGTAATAGATTTAATTTTAAACATTCGATTTAATAAATATTGGAATATAATAAATGGAATTAATCTGTAGGTTCATCTGCAAACGCAGCAAGAAGGCACGATATCCATAGGGCGCCTAACAACATCTATAATACGAAATCAGGGCATTTTAGCTTTGTATAATGGACTGAGTGCATCTCTACTTCGCCAACTTACGTATTCAACAATAAGATTTGGAGCTTACGAAGTAAATACATTTTACGATAAATTTACTCATGTATTGATATTACTGACGTGCTTACAAAACGCTTCTGTATATTTGACCTATTTCCTTTCTGTTCATTTCGAGCATACTGAGCATTTTATCCAAATATAACGTGCTTTTATTTTTAGGTGGGAAAACAAACATTCGAGACACCTGGACATTCGTTATCATTTTCGCATAAACTTTTATTGGCTGGAGTATCTGGGGCAACCGGTGGTATTTTTGGAACACCGAGTGATCTGATCAATGTACGCATGCAAAATGATATAAAATTGCCGCCAGAACTCAGAAGAAAGTAAGATTCATTGTTAACACTCATGCTAATTTTACTTTTACCCATTTCGTTCATTGCTACATATAATTCTAGTTACAAACATGCTTTAGACGGGCTGCTAAAGGTAATGCAACAAGAAGGAATACGTCGATTGTTCAATGGATGTTCCACAGCGACGTTAAGAGCTGCATTAATGACCATTGGCCAACTTAGTTTTTACGATCAAGTTAAAATGATATTGTTAGATAGCGGCTATTTTCAAGATAATCCCGTGACTCATGTAGTATCAAGTGTATTTGCAGTGAGTACTTTAGATAATGAGTGCAGAAAATGTGAAGCAGTGATCGAACTAATCTTTAAACTGTTGATTATAATTTCAGGGTGCTGTAGCTACGACTCTTACACAACCGTTGGATGTGTTGAAAACACGTGCGATGAATGCTAAACCCGACGAGTTTAAGGTAATTACGATCAAGTTAAATGAATAATGGAAAATATTGATGCTAAATATTTGTTACAATTTTTTACAGAATTTAATGGATTTATTTTTATATACTGCTAAACTTGGACCACTAGCATTCTTCAAAGTAAGTTAATTTATCATACTACTTTTCTCTTAGTTATATCTAATTCACAATATCATCCAGATAATGGCAAGGTCATGATCTGGCTATATACATTTGAGATAAAATGAGTCTCAAAATGTAGAATCAGTAAGTGAAAAGAAAAAGATATTGTAGTGACACCTTATAATAATTTAAGTGAGAGACGTTTCAAGTATTTATTTACATGAAATCACGTTTAGTAATCGAGTAAAATAATTTGGAATCCTTATAAGCACAAACTTAGTTTCCTTTAGTCCATAGTTTTTTTTATGGAAGCTATGTGACTTTATATGTACTTAAAAATCAAATCGTATTGGTAGCATTTGAAACAGAATAGCAGTATAAATATTTTCTAGATAATTTAGATAGTAGTTTTTCATTGTTATTAGATATGCTTGAATTTAGATGTTATCCTGTATATCACTGTCAAAAGTCGGCATCTTATCGAAGTATTTACTAGAGGCAGAGTACATGTCGATTTAAATATTTTCTATCTACTTCCAAATATAATCTCTATCATTATTTTATTCATTTCTGCTTGCTAGCACATATCACATTTAAATATGCTTGTTCAAACCAATTACTATTCTCTTATATGTATATTACCTGAAACATGTACTGTTTATTTCATTTTAGGGATACGTACCTGCTTTTGTCCGATTAGCTCCACAGACTATTCTTACTTTCGTCTTTTTAGAACAGTTGAGATCTAATTTCGGATTCTATCCTCCTATTATTGCAGAGTCATAAAGTTCAATTAACTGTTTAATGCTTTAGCATTAACTGTCTACCTGAAATATTTTACAGAAGTAAAAAAGAGAGATCTTATATATAGAATACGAAACTTTATGGAAAGATTGTATAAACATTTGTTCTATCTCAACCATTAGTTACTTTTGCATTCCATTAATCATATTCAAAATTGGTTTCTTATGTCTTATACCTCGTATGTCGCGTACTTCAGAACACGTTTAGTAATATTTATAGTTTCCGAATATTCAGAGAATCCAATGTTAATTAGATGGAACAAATGTTTTCTGATTGCGTGATAAATTCATTGTTAATGTGTTTAAATTTTAAATCTAGCACAATATTTTTGCATTGATAGTGTCATTTCTCAACTATTACAGTTTTCGTTATTATATAGTAATTTAATTAATGATTTGGGCACAAAATATCTTTTTAATACTTAACACATTCCGAGAAGATATTGTAGTTATGCAATAATAGATATACACAAGATTTTATATATATACACATATTTTATTACATATATATATTTATATCTATAGCAATATATTTTTCTGGAGAAAATACTGTTTTATAATTGTTACGGAAGAAACTTTGAAAAAGATGAAATATTTTTAGTTTGTAAAACACGTGATGTATGTATGAACGAATGTACGTGTTGATCTTATAAATTAGTTGAAATTATTTTCAAGTAAAACCTGTGTATGAGTTTCTACAAAACGTTTTAATTCATGCATCGGTGAACACCTTTCCACGTTATTAAATACCATAACCAATGTGTAGATTAAAAACCAATTGCTTCGGATTACACAAGGTCATACGAAGTGAAATTAATATATTATTTGAAAGTTACATGGACCTAATCGTTGATTATGGTGCCGAACATGCAAATGAATAAAATTAAGTTTTACCAAGCGTCTACGGTGGATAGGAGACTCTGTACAGCTGTGTAGTCAAGAAGGTCTGTCGTAATCCCATATCGCGTCTCTCTACCACACCTATCCATCAATCTAATTTTAGTCACACCGAATATCAACGACGGGCGATCGTACCAACGCACCGTTTCGACATTAAAATCATTTAAAAACACGTGTTATTTCCTGTGTATAGCAACGGGTACTCTTGGAGACCAATGCAAACGAGACAAATAACGGCGATGTTAGCGTCTCCTATAACGAATAGCCGAAATATTCCGCGCGTAATCGAAACTTTCGAAGTCGAGAACAAGGCCAAGGAGTTCGGCATTTTTTTTTTAATATCTTACGAAATTTGACTGAATATGCTATTTTAAACTTTCTCTAAAAATTTGTATATGCTCTTATAAAGAAACGATTTGCTTCATTCTTCTTTAGTTTTTATATCCAAATAAATGACCAGTAGAAGATGTTAAATATAATGAAAGCGACGGGGAAGACGATCCTGCTACGCCTATCAAGTATAAACATTTGTTCTATCTCAACCATTAGTTACTTTTGCATTCCATTAATCATATTCAAAATTGGTTTCTTATGTCTTATACCTCGTATGTCGCGTACTTCAGAACACGTTTAGTAATATTTATAGTTTCCGAATATTCAGAGAATCCAATGTTAATTAGATGGAACAAATGTTTTCTGATTGCGTGATAAATTCATTGTTAATGTGTTTAAATTTTAAATCTAGCACAATATTTTTGCATTGATAGTGTCATTTCTCAACTATTACAGTTTTCGTTATTATATAGTAATTTAATTAATGATTTGGGCACAAAATATCTTTTTAATACTTAACACATTCCGAGAAGATATTGTAGTTATGCAATAATAGATATACACAAGATTTTATATATATACACATATTTTATTACATATATATATTTATATCTATAGCAATATATTTTTCTGGAGAAAATACTGTTTTATAATTGTTACGGAAGAAACTTTGAAAAAGATGAAATATTTTTAGTTTGTAAAACACGTGATGTATGTATGAACGAATGTACGTGTTGATCTTATAAATTAGTTGAAATTATTTTCAAGTAAAACCTGTGTATGAGTTTCTACAAAACGTTTTAATTCATGCATCGGTGAACACCTTTCCACGTTATTAAATACCATAACCAATGTGTAGATTAAAAACCAATTGCTTCGGATTACACAAGGTCATACGAAGTGAAATTAATATATTATTTGAAAGTTACATGGACCTAATCGTTGATTATGGTGCCGAACATGCAAATGAATAAAATTAAGTTTTACCAAGCGTCTACGGTGGATAGGAGACTCTGTACAGCTGTGTAGTCAAGAAGGTCTGTCGTAATCCCATATCGCGTCTCTCTACCACACCTATCCATCAATCTAATTTTAGTCACACCGAATATCAACGACGGGCGATCGTACCAACGCACCGTTTCGACATTAAAATCATTTAAAAACACGTGTTATTTCCTGTGTATAGCAACGGGTACTCTTGGAGACCAATGCAAACGAGACAAATAACGGCGATGTTAGCGTCTCCTATAACGAATAGCCGAAATATTCCGCGCGTAATCGAAACTTTCGAAGTCGAGAACAAGGCCAAGGAGTTCGGCATTTTTTTTTTAATATCTTACGAAATTTGACTGAATATGCTATTTTAAACTTTCTCTAAAAATTTGTATATGCTCTTATAAAGAAACGATTTGCTTCATTCTTCTTTAGTTTTTATATCCAAATAAATGACCAGTAGAAGATGTTAAATATAATGAAAGCGACGGGGAAGACGATCCTGCTACGCCTATCAATCCATTGAGCGATCTCTTGTGGAGTCATCGTCGTGAAGTTTTGTGACTGCGAAAGAGTCGCTCTCCGTGCGAATGACTTAGGCGACGACGTGCTGGTGACTGTGTTAATGCTACCTACGGAACATTCCTGATCCTTGTCTTCCTCGATCTTAACAGAAGGAATGTTAAGCGTACTTGGAAAACTCTGTAATAAATGCGTACCGTGTAAACAGAAGATCCGCGCTTATCTGGTACCTCGATTAGACGTACTTACATGCACGGTAAGATAGTTCTGACTTGTGTAATCATGCTCGCTGCTGTTTACGTTATCAATCGATGACCAAGATCGCGATCGTTCCAACCCCGAGGTATTTTTCTGATACTGTTTCCGCGCCAGTTTCGGCGTCAGCGTTGATTTCAATATGTATTTACTGTTTACCTTTTTCAACGGTACAATTTTTCTAAACATATTTTGTAGGATTAATTTATTAATTAGACGGGTGTCACGTAAGAGATGGGAAACCCCGGATTAAGGACTACGTACTTCCGACGATATATTGTATTAACGAAAGCAAACTCGACCATAGCAGCGAACAAGAATATAGTACACCCTAAGAACCATATTTCGCTTGCTTTTATGTAGGAGACTTTAGGCAAGGAATTTTCCACTTTAGATGCGAGCGTCATAAACGTCAAGATAGTATTCGTTCCTTAATAAAATTGCAATTACTTTAGACATCATTTAAATTGTTTGAACTATTACGTAAAAAGTTATTCATTATATTATATATATTTCACCCAAAACGATTCGTGGAGGACTCGCGTCCATGTGCAACCAAAATGATACCCAAGAAATAACTACTATTAATATGGATGGTATATAATAGTCCATCATAAAGAATCCCATTTCACGAGCTAATTTAAATGTTATGCTAATCGCACTGAAATTGCCAGCTGTAAACACGGAACATCTGTTAATTAGGGTAGTTTTTAAAAAATCCAGGTCGATCTGTCAGATCTCGATGCACGAAGTACTTGCCGAAGTGACCGTAAAGCTGCTGCGAGACGGTATAAACTACTTCTGACGTATTAACCCACTTCCCAATAATTTTGTACTCAGTTAAGTGTAATTCATCAGCAAGAATGATCGATTCTTGGTCCCAACGCAACACCATATCAGCTACATTGTGCGTCCCTGTAGGTAAAAATTCCGTTCATTCCAAGGAGCAGTAGCAGAATAAAATAGCTGAGTACTAAAACAATGACATCCTACAGCTTTCCAAAATAAGTGGACATTCTTGTACGTCAAATGGAAACTTCTCCAAACGAAGCCCACAGTTAAGAATAGCTTGCAACCTGTAGCAGTCGTACCGCTTTGTATTAAATATTTGATAGAGAATGTCGAATAGAATCCCGTGTATCATTTACAAACCTAGTGTTCAATATAACCATGCCTGATGGAGCTATAGAAACAAGTATGTCTTTGACACCATTTCCCATAATAGCTGAACTAGGTTCATTAGAAACATATACGCTCGGCATCCAAATTAAATCCTGCGCAAACTGGCCGCCGTGTATTTGATTCAGATGTGGAGCGATGTGAGAAAATTTCAATCTTTCATCCAGGTATCTAAATTGCAACATCATGTGTACACCAAATTGCTGGAAAAATATTGTAAGAAATGTGTAAAATAATGATTATTTAAGAATCAGGAGAGCACAGAGAACCTACTAGAGTCTTTGCCATATTCGATGTGATTGTATAGATGTAAGCACTGGTATAGACAGTAATTGGTCCCGTCGCGTTAATTGCTCCCAGTGGCCTGGCTAATTTATCATAACGGCATTCGAGCGTCAACTTTTGCAGAAGCTCGGTTTGTGTTATAGAACTGGTACTATTGAGCGTTGGGCAACTCTCCGGTCTGCAAGAAATAATTCGTAAGACGTAAGAGAACTCTCTCAAACTTCCGAGAATCGCAATGCGGATCTCCGAAATTACTCATATCATAATACACACTTCCTTATAGCACTGTTACTTAAATATTGTACGACAAAACGTATGAATCATTTCACGGCGAAATCTTTTTTTTAGAGGGTGTTTCATAATAATACAAAGAAGTGAGTATTAAGTGCGAGGAAAGATAAGACTTCTTTGAAACAAGATCCTTGAATTAAAATTCTGAACGTTACCAAGTAGTAAGAATAGTTCATTATTGCTTTGTACTAATGCAGATGACACAATGCAGCACATGTGACTCTGAAATTAAAAAAGAACTGTCTTCTTCGTGGAAGTTCAAATCATTGTTAACTACTAATTGTTCTCTTGTTTACTATTTACTTATTTTCAAACACCGGCAAGAATGATAATTCATAAAGTGAAACAATACGATTTGAGAACTTTAATCAGAATCTTAATACCAATACCAACAAGAAAGTCTTATCTAACTACACGGCTACATTAATTTACAGCATCAAACATTCGGCTGTTTATATAAGTTATCAATATTTTTCTTCATAAACTGCGTCTCATGATTAAAAATAGATTTCTTTTTACTTTGAACACAGTATGCACGACACTAGACTTCCAATATAAAAAAATATTCCAATCTAAAGTTCGCAAAGGTAATCAATATACGAAATGAAATAATAATCGTGTTTACACAAGTGTCCAGAAATTTACATATAAAACACCTTTCGCTTACACACATTTTATAATGTTTTGAGATTGTGGCACATGCTGCAGACGTTGAGAAATAATGCCAGAGACTATGCTGTACGTTTAGACGTTCTATAAAATATGTTGTGTCGGAGATCCTTCATTGAATTCAACAGGAAAATAGAATAATAAATTTCAGATAAGAACTTACATAGCGGATGCATCCAAGTGCGATATATATAGTATATAAAGAGAAATCACGAAGGAATAAATTCCTCTTAAGGCCATCTTAAGGTTCCTGACTTATCTGTTTCACTAATAAACTTGGACTGATTCCTTCTTAGCTACACATGCATGCTCTTGAGCAAATTTGCTGGAAACCAAACATTACCCAACCATTCCTCCCATTCACGATATTCTTTTATGAAGTGAACACTCACGTGCTGGTATATGATACTCGGTCGGCACTGTATACAAAGTGTGTTCAAATTATCTGAAGCTACATTAATTTATACCCATACACACGCATAGATTCATACATTAATCAATATTTTTAATAATAAAATTCAATAATAAACTGGTGGAGACTATTTCTGCATTGACTTCTCAAACCAGCTTCTAAAATCTTTAATTAAAAATAGTAAATTTATTTATTACTATCAGCATATCGTATGCCTACACTTAGCAATTACATATTTACATTCATTACATTAAATAAAAGACAGGTGACTCGCTATAAAATAAAGTATAAAAACTTACGAAATTTGTACAGTAATTAACTATGCGCTTGGATCATTTTTATAGACGTGCGGTTTCATACGATTAAGGGTATATGTGAATAAATGTAAGTTTTGTAGTAATGAAGTCATCCTCGCGAAATGTCGTTCCGTATATGGTATAAGGGACTCCAACGTTGAAGATAATTTAGATTGGAGCTCTAAATGTTCCATTTCCACCATTAGTGAGTTAATGACCACCTATTACCGATATGTAAGTTTTAAACGAATTAAGGTCTGTATAGGTGTTTAGTTGTAAAGCATAACATATTTTACTATTTACCTGAGCAACTTGGCAATTTTTGCTGTTGGCGTTCCACGTAATAGCACACTTGAGTAGCTCTTCTTTACGAAGCGGTTTCAATCCACCAATCGCTTGTTCAAGACGCAAATGATCTTTTTTTAAAATAGCTAACACATAAATGATACCGATAATAATATATAAAATATGAACATAGTAGTCAAGTATCAATTCACAAACTTACTTTGTACAATCTTGAGAACTTGGAAGGGGCGTTCCAACTTCAAGGCTAAACTCAACGCTGCAGCTAATTCATCTGCCTCGAGTAGATTTGCTAATTGTTGTTCTTCCAACGCGCGCTGCTCTAATTCGTTTGCAGCTCTTAATTTCTTCTCTTCAGTTACGTCTTTCCAAATGAGTAACAACGAATCGCTTCCGCCACTGATGATATGTCTCTCATTTTCACTGACTATAATTAAATACATAATACTGTAAATTCTCCTTGACAGGGAAATGGTAATATAATATTCACCTGCCAGTGCCCACACCCGACTTTCGTGCTGCTCCAAAGTGCACACACATTCCGAAGTTTTGATACACCACAATTTTAATAAACCGTCACCACTTGCTGATATAATTTGCATCCCACGTGATAAAAATTCTGCTTTCAACGTAGACGATTCATGACCCTCGAGTGTCTGAAACATTAATAATATTTAACGAAAGTTCAGAGAATAATAGTTATCAAATTACTTTTAAACACTGAAGTTCCGACAGCGACCAAAGTTTCATCGTGCAGTCTGCTGATGTCGTCAAGAGTACTTGATCCACAGGTGAAAATCGAACGCACCATACTCCCCTACGGTGGCCACGGAATACGCCGAGTAATTGCAAGTCATCGGCAGACCATAACTACGAAAAAAGATTGATATTACATACTGTACTGATTTAGCATTTTTATTTAACCCACCTTAGCCGTTTTATCTTGCGATGCAGTGGCGATCAATTTGTCATTCGGAGAGATGGTTACGCAGTTAATATCTTTCTGATGAGCCAGTGTTGTATGAATAGCGTTCAAGTTAATATCACCTGTGTATAATTATTGAATTAATAATCATGCAGTCTATAGACTTCTCAAGATTATGCTTACTGTTCAAATCAATATCATCGGGTATATCCCATAGTTTAAGGCACGAATCTTGGCTTACGGAAGCGAGGAATTTACACGAACTTGAAACTGCGACAGAGCCAACAGGAGCAGTATGCCTGGTAGAGGACGCGATGCAAGATACTTTAGCTGTTTCCTTATCCATAAGCCACATACGAATACTATTATCCTATGATTCACAAAAGATTATTCCATATTCTTGTTGGAAACATTCTTTAATAGCCTAATATTTTAGGGACACGGTAGTTGTTACATTGTATAAAGTACCTTCGTTAATAATGTGTATACACACCTTTGCCGATGACACGAGTAAGTATGCATTAATACGTGCTGTAGCGAGAGATAAGACGATGTCCGTATGCCCACACAATAATTCACAATTCATAGTTGAAATATTGTATAGTTTTATATCAGGACTATTAGTAGCTACTGCTACATGACTGCTACCTTCTCCCAGATAAGCTACATCCAAGATTTCGTCACTGTAGCCTACTAACTATAATAATTAATTGTATTATGAACAGAATTATGAAGATATAAATTTTATAATTTATTTAGAAACGATATCTACCTGTTTCACGTGCTCAAATGTATCTAACGAATGAATTATTATATTATGATCGACTGTGATTATAGCGAACGTGTTACTGGCGTTATTGTAAAGTAAATGTGTGATTGAGAGACTTCCTGCTTCCTTCGCAGCCGCTACTATAGAATTTGTTTGTACATATACTTCTTTACCAGTTCTCATCTCCCAAATCCTTACAACTCCTAAATGTTTAAAATACATTAGTCAAGTATAAAAAACTGTATTATATCTTTTATGAAAAATTTTGAAACCTTTTTCTCCTGCAGCAGCAACGTGAACAGCATTGCTGTCTTTGTTATGAAAAGGTACTGGCAACGATGCATTCTTAGGTATAATAAATGTATCCTCTATTTCCTCATAAATTGGCAAGACACGTATTGATGATCCAGAAGAAACATTCCATAAAATCAGTACTCTGTCTCTCCCTGAACTAAATTATTATACATACGAGTATAGAGTATTATACATTAGTAATACATACGAGAATAATATAATAAATAGAAAACTGACGTACAGTTTTAATACATTACCTAACTACATAATCTTCATCCTTGAGGAAAGACAAAGACGTAACTTTACTGAAATGCCCAGAAAGAGTAACTACTTCTGCACCAGTTTTAATACTCCAACCATGAATTTTAATATCATCACCAGCAGCGAACACGAGTTCTTTATCCGTGTTTGGATGAAAAACTAAAACACTAAATTCTTACTTTGATTATACATGCTCTCAATAAGAATAAATTGTATGCCTGTTTCATTTGAGGTAGACACCTTATAACTCCTTGAGCTCCTTTTAAATTATGAGTACAAGCGTGATGCTCTAAATTCCATAATCTGACAGTGCCATCACTACCTCCAGAAGCCATTAAATTCCTTTCTGTCGAATGAGCAATACGAGCTACAGGACCTTTGTGTATAGATTTCCATAATTTCATTAACTTATTATCTACAATAATAACGTGTCCATTAAAATCTTTTATTAAAACTTGAAAAGGAATCTGAGTTCAATAAGTACCTTTCCAGTTCCACAATTTAAAAAGAGTACTTTTGTGATGTGTGATAATATGTAAGTCATCATCAGATGCAGTAAATGTATTAATTGTGTCTTCCTCTTCATTATCTTTATTCTGTCCTAATGAGGATATTACAATACCTTTACCTACAGACAATATAGAGACTGTTCCATATTTTTGGCAGAATATATGTTCTCCATCTGTGCTCCACTATAAGAAGAGTAAACTTAAAAATATATATATTCGAACCAATAAATTTATTAATCAACATACTTGAACATTTCCTCCGGTGTAAAATGCCCCATGCTTAGATTCAACTTCAAACCTAAAATTAAACGCGGTCAATAGTGATAATACTGAATTAACAGTAATAAATACGTTCCATGCATTGAGCATTAGTTTAACAGCGTCATCGAAAGTTACTTACGCTTCTTTTAATGCGATTTTACTCATCTTTCTTCAATTGCTCGAACAATTTGACAATACGCGATACAAAAACTGAAAAGCCACGTGCTGTGAAGCACGTGTCGCGCTCGTCGCGCTTATTTCATTTATTCTCGCATCGGCATGGACAGCATCACCTGCCGGCAAAATTGTCGCCTGCTAGTTCATTAACAAGCGGCAAAATTTAAAGAGCAACCGCTCAGTGGAAATTAAAATAATTTTCAGAAATGCTATTTCTATATGGATATAAAGTATATAGAATTATACCCTAAATATGAAATATAATAGCGGGACAAAAAAATTATATCGAATTTCCTCCGATAAAAAAGTATAAAATTTTTCAATTTCAATAATATGAATCAAAATTATTTTGATTTATACTATAATATTAATTTATTGTAACATCACCGAGGAGATGATTATTATTTGCATTTAGACGTCCAATTAAATGCATGACTAATGTTAATAAGAAGAGATACATTTTTTTATATTGTTTCATGGAGACGTATTTTTTTATGGTTAATAAAAATTGTGATTTCGTCTCAATAGTTTGCGTTCATCATATTTGAAGCATTCAAATGAATGGGTGAGAAATTCAAGAGGAATACGCGTCTCATTTGAATTTGAAGAAAAGGCATACGTTAGTATGGCACTATGATTACGAAGGATTGACCGTTGCGTAAAGAACGATAAATTCCAAAGGGAAATATCGTACGGTATCCCGTACATTTACGGGTGAAGTACCGCTAGTCGTGCACATATACATACGTACGCGGTGAGAAAGAGGGAACGAAAGAAAAAAGTTGGAAGGGGACCGAGAGAGAGGCAAAGAGGAAGAACAGCGCGAAGGTGAAGGACAGGGGAACGAAGTAGTTCTAATACTGTCGAGATCAGACAATAACGTAGACCTAATCTAAATGAGAATGAACACGCAGCCACGGAAATGAAAGAGATAACAAATGAAAGTGTCTCATCGCGATGCTAATGAGATTCAAAAAGTTCCGATATATTAGCTGAACGTCTTCTACGATGAGAATTTAAATGGGTCCAAAGTTAACGAGTCTGGTTTTTCTACAAACCGCAGGAATTGTTCAGACGACCGTAGGAACAATGTGAGATGAGCAGGAGGAATGAATAAATATCGAACACGCCGATGCCAACAACCCTTCCCCTTCTTTTTAACTGATTCTCAGCGAGGTCGCCGAGACGATCGGTTCTCTCTACTTCTCCGCCTTCCTCGTTCTTTTCTCTCCTTTTTCTGACCGGCGTAAAAGAGGGGACCCGCACCCTGACCCACAAGCGGGCCCCGGTATCTCCTCAGTCAGTCAGTCAGTCAGTCAAACAAGTCTAACAGGCAATGCGGGCCCGCATAATACCGTGGCTGCCGAACTCGCGGTAAAGTAGTTTGACACGCACGTGTTCGAACCGGGTAACGACAGTGTGTCTTCCTTTAACTGTTTTTGCGGTTACCTTCTTAAATCGAAGAAAAAGAAGCGGAAAACGGGCTGAGACCGAGAGAGAAAGAGAATGAGGGAGGTGAAGATGATACTGAGAACAGTACCCGGGGGCATCGTCCTTATCCTCTTGCTTAGCGGATCCATCGTTGCTCAGGACGACGACTCCCTGGCTGGCAGTTTCTTGTCAGGTAAATAGATTATTTGTATACCCTCTCATATTTCATAATTGCTATACAAATTTATAAATGGCCGGTGAGATTAAATTTCATTGAGCTTCACAGGGTCATAGAATTTTCATTTTATTTTATGGAATTAAATTTTGACGTTATGCATCGCGTTTTAAAAATAAAAGCTTGCTTTCTATATTTTTCGTTCACCTAAAAAGAAATCAACGAATTACGAATTTGATACTGGAATTTAATATATGACATCAATCTTGATAAAACAGTAAAATAATTGATGTTAAGTTTACTCATTAAGAATAGATAATAAGAAAGTTTCTTATTTTATTTCTGTTCTCAAAATAAATTTTTACTTGTCAAATTCTTGTCTATTAACTTTTTATAAAAGTGGTTTTTTGTGTCGATTCAATTTGACGTAACTGCGTAAGGAATACAATTTGAAAATTCAAAACGTAGTGTTCGCATGTACGTCCAGTCGTAGAAATTCTTAAGACACGCATGGCGATCGATAATTAATTAATCCCGAGTAACTAGTCGATTGATCTGATATAGTAAAATGGCTGTAACTAAAATTAGTTCGTAGCAGAGGAGGTTTCGAGAAATAGAAATTCGCGTGCGTGAATGTATGCTGCGCACGCTTGTATAGGTGGTATCTGGAAGGATGCGATTGTCCCACTTAGGACAGCGTTATACGGATGACGCTCGAGTCCATTGCCATTGCCATTGGCAAGCTTGAAAAGTACAAGACGCTACACATTCTACCAAGCTAGCTAGAGTTCAAGAATTTATTCAACAAGTTTAAAAAAAAATTCGAAGCTGATATAAAAAAAGAAAAGTTCATGCGAACACAAACTGACTGTGAAACGAGTACACATCTCCCTGACAGAATTGCATTTCTCAATACAATTAATACCTACGTGTAGAAAATCGAACTGTTGATACGATGTTTACACTTATAAAAAAAATGAAAGTCTCGCACTGGCGATAAGTTGCGAATCTTTCTGCGACAGTCTGCGGGTGAACATCGACCTCGACATAGAAGTTTCACGTGTACGCGGATATCCGCTTGGCTTCGGGAGGTCACGTAAAACAGAAATATGCATAGAAATTGAAAATGTTAATGTCAAATGCGCGCGAACATCCGCATCACGCTGAAAGGGTTCTAATGGTTCGTTTAACTCCTCGCAGACTGACTATTTTTACTGCTCTACCACTGAACTAATTTCCTTACGCAAATGAGCGAAACGCAACGCAAATATGATTCGAAATCTCAAGAGCTCATATATTTTTCTGGCTGAAAATAATTCTGGAATGCAGATTAGAACATGTCATTGATCCTTGACGATTACGTTAGAGACGGCACGTGTAGTATCAAAAATGGTCATGCAATGGAGTCGAGCCGTTTAATTAACTACCGTTATGTTTGTTTGGGCCGTTATGCATGCTAAAGTGAAAACAGCTAGAAGTATATGTGTACTACGAGCCGTGCGAATTTCTTATTTACTTACACGTTTGTGCGAAATTAATAATAAGCTGGATTTATCAAACTTCCGTCGGTTCCGAAACCGAGGTAATAAATTAGTCACTGAGTCAACGCGCCTTTAGGAGAAAACGAAACTACTATTCAAAGCGCGATGCATTCTGTTATTACACCTTTGTTTATAATTGAATAGCGAACGTTTCTCAATGCATTTTAACGGAGTTCGCGTGCTCACCAAATACTGAAAGATAATCAATTTTACTGTGTAAGTGGGATGTAGGATTACGTATGCAGGAATTTCTCTTGACTCACGGTACCTTCGCACCTGTACCCGATATACAGTTAATGCTGAATTTATGATACACGTGTTTCTCATTATCATAGGAAAAAATAAACTTCAGGATATTGGATAATCGTCGTTCCTACATTATGTAGGATTCGTTCCATACAGGTTTCGCTTGGAACTGTACTAGCCGATTTCCCTGCGTATCTTCCAACGTTTCAACGTCTCTATTTCTTTACAGGTCTACTGGATTCCATAACGAGCACGGCGAACAGCGCGGACTGCCCGGGAGTGTGCGTGCATGCATTCGCAACTTTGATATGCTACGAAGTTCTCGAGCATGTACAATGCCCGACCAGCATGCGATGTTGCATCGAGGCGCCTATAAATGGAACCGGAACTTCTGAAAATGCGGTCCAGGACGAGGACCACACTACGACCATTTCTACCACCGCTAGAACGACGACTACGACCACGAGTACGACGATCTCCACGCCCAGCACAGCTCTCACGACCGTGTCCTCGACGACCACTACAAAAGCTACTTCCGTACGTCCACAAAATCATGCTTGTAATTAACTTTAAGAGTAATGAAAATGAATGTGATGAATTTCCAGGAAAGCCAAAAGGAAGCAGCGAATAAGACGTCGAGTACGTATCCCTTACTGTTGATCAAGACACGATTAACAGAATTTCTTTCTACTGTTCCTAATTTCTGAATTCACTCGAAGATTCATTGAACTGTCGTTTCTAGCGAAAACCTGCTCAGGGATTTGCATGGCCGAGAGGATCGCCGACTACTGCGACGCAGTCTTGGTGATAGACACCCTCTGCAAGCCAGGGTACAAGTGCTGCGTGTCCAGGGACGCTTTCGGCGAATCGCCTCCGCCAGAATTATTGGTCATCGACCGAAACTCGAGTCGGATCGATGAAAAGATGGTCGGCGTTAATACGTCGCATAAAGGTCCTTCACCTTCTACCGCAAGGCCAAATATAGTCACCTCGACGAGTGTATCTAGCACGACGGTGGCAACGACCATCGCGTCGACTAAACAAACGACGACTACGATGAGGCCAAAGATTACAGCGAAGAAACCGTGCAAAGGCGAATGCGTTAGCGGATTCTTCGCCCTATTGTGCGACAAGGTGGACGGCGACGCCGAGTGCCCTGACGATGGATCGTGCTGCGTCATAGACGCTTTCGTGAAAACGGTAAGACGACGAAGCCACGTTAAGTTGTAATGATGACCGGTGATTGGTAATAATTTTTTAGGAGACAACGACGACGACGACGGTGCGACCATCGACGAAGCCGGCGCAACCGAAATTACAACCCTGTCCCGGATTTTGTTTATTGACCATTATGGCAGCCTTCTGCGAGCGGCCGAACACGATAATACCGAAGACCTCGACTTGTCAATCCGGGTCCATTTGTTGCGACAACACGAAGAGCTCGCCGCAGGTGATTCTATTTCTTTATTTCGGTAGAACCGTATCGGTGGAACAAATAATGTGATGCAAGTAAGCTATCGAATAATCTATACGAAATAGAAGAATTGAAATCGAACATTGAAATGTAGACAGTAAACGTAGTGACACCGTCTTCTTCGTATCAGACCCCAAGGCCCAGGCCAAGACCGACGCCGAGACCAACGATCACTACAGTTTCTCTGCCGCCGGATCCACGGCCAGAGTGTCCTGGCTCGTGTATCGTTTCTTACTTATCCTTTACCTGTTTCAGTAAGCACTCTTCATATTTTTATGATTCTTATTCCAATTGATTTAGAAATTAATAAATTGTTCATATATAGGGAATGCCGAATTGACCAACTTATTTAAATGCAAGAAACAAGGACATCAATGTTGCGCGCCAAAATCGTTGATACGAGAATTAAACGGTGGTAATTCTACTGAACCGGTGTTGAGTAACAGAAACGACACGTTGTATGTCACTTCGAGGCCGTATACGACACCGTTTACGACCGCATTATGTGAGTTAGAAACTAAATGGAACGATCCTGCGTTATGCTTGTTATCAGAAAATCTTAAGCAATAGTTCCCTATGCATTCCGCAGATGAGACAACGACAGTGATGACGACTATGAGGAGTCCCGTGTACAGTAAATACGTCTGCGGCGTGAAAGGAACTTCTCGCGGACCAATTCAAGCGCGTAGCTTTGAAAGAGGAGGGCGGGTCGTCGGGGGAGAAGACGCGGATGCCAATGAATGGTGTTGGCAAGTTGCTCTAATTAATTCCCTCAATCAATACCTCTGCGGTGGAGCGCTCATCGGAACACAATGGGTCCTGACAGCCGCGCACTGTGTGACAAAGTAAATTTTGTTAAACCCGTTATTTAAAACAAAAAAGAAACAGCTGTTCCTTGACCGATCGTATTTACAGCATCGTCAGATCCGGAGACGCGATTTACGTGAGGGTGGGAGATCACGATTTAACGCGGAAGTACGGAAGTCCCGGTGCTCAAACCTTGCGAGTGGCGACTACGTATATTCATCATAATCACAATAGTCAAACGCTTGATAACGATATAGCTCTCTTAAAACTTCATGGACAAGCAGAGCTGAAGGACGGTGTCTGCTTGGTATGTTTGCCAGCCCGGGGCGTCAGTCATACGGCTGGCAAACGATGCACCGTTACTGGTTACGGATACATGGGAGAAGGTGCACGTCTATTTCCAATTAAATTCAACAGATATTAAGAAGAGTCTTTTTTAATAATCACTGTGTGCAGCTGGCCCTATCCCGCTTCGAGTACGCGAAGCCGAAATACCGATTGTCAGCGATGCCGAGTGTATACGGAAAGTGAACGCTGTCACTGAAAAGATCTTCATTTTACCAGCGAGCAGCTTCTGTGCCGGTGGTGAACAAGGCAACGATGCGTGTCAGGTAATATTATCTTTTCACGTATCGTCGAGGGAAATTGAAAGACGCCTCTAAAACATTTGAATATGTTATTTGAAATGATATTATTTAATATTTAGGGCGACGGAGGAGGACCATTAGTGTGTCAAGACGATGGATTCTATGAATTGGCTGGACTCGTATCGTGGGGCTTTGGCTGCGGAAGATTAGATGTTCCTGGGGTTTACGTAAAAGTTTCAGCGTTCATTGGCTGGATCAACCAAATTATTTCCGTAAATAATCTTTAGTTTCTTTTAATGTTCTATTTATAATAAAAATTAATATATATATATATATTTATTTATTAAGGACGCATTGTGTGTAGTACCTTCGCGCGCTTGATGATGTAAACTTTTATGTTACGTGTCTAGCAAAAGGAATATTTTTTATGCACGATGACTGTGAAATAATTCGTGTAGAGGATATATAGTTTTGAAGATGTTACGTTACTCGTAACATAAAAAAAGTGAACGTCGTGTAGCTTTAATAAATAATGAGAAACAAAAATTTGCATTGTATCCACTTTTGAGATACTCGATTTCTTATTCGTTAATGCAGTGAACTTTCGTTTATCCAGTGTTTCGGACTACTTTAATAACGGCTCTCTCAACATTTAGTTGAATTCACCAAAGTTAAAGAAACTGTTTATAATTTCGTAAGATTTAACATTATAAGATTTTGATAGATAGAACTTTCTTAGTTATTAAATTTTACTAAATCTCGTTCCTTTAATTGTTCGAACATAATTTTACGAACATAATATTTTACATAATGTAGGACGAACGAAAGTTTGCATCAGCGTTATCGTTCTACAATTGGCAAAATGCATTAACTTGCAATCGTAATTGTAATTTATGATTCGTTTCTGGTAATCGTGCCATCAAGTGCGTCCGTTATACGTAATAAAAAATGCCTTAAGATAATTGATAATATATACGATGTACAATAAATTATAAAATTGTTGGCACAGATATTATCGAAAAAGTTTATAATTATGATTATTAAAAATCGATTAGAAAATATCCTGCTATTAAACAGCACGTAGTAAATAATTATGTCTTTGCCAACAATTTGATGTATTCGTTACGAATGTGTCGTTTTTTTCATGTCAAACGACACATTGCGAATGAAAGTCAATTCCATAGAAATTAAAGTATCTCTGTTAGGAGCAAAACACAGTGATATCGAATTGTTACGATTGAGAAGTTTCTATATACATATATTATATATATAATTTTCTTTTTAGCAATAATTTATTTAGGACGTTGCAAGTGATTTACATACAGATGTATGTACTTTCATCTACATTATTGTATATGTATAATTTCCAAGCTCATGAAATTTACTCTAGCACTTTATCAATGCGATATTTCACGTTTTATGTTACGTAGATTCAGTGTATTTGGGGAACAATATAACACGCTTTGTACATTACTGCTTCATTCGTAAAAGTATCTTTCGATTTATATATAAGGATGTTTTATCGATTTAAATGGAAAAGAATATTAAATGTGAATATCAAAGTTAGTTACTAAGTTACTTTAAATCTATAAAACATTGCTGTAAAACGTTACTGTAAAAACATTTTTATGTAATGGAAACATTTTGTACCTTTCAAACTATTAAAACGTGCACAATTTTTTTACTGTGATTAAATATCAAATTTACTGTCTAATATACGTATTAGATAGTCCTGAGAGTTTATATTAATTCATACATCATCGATCAACTGGAAGATTGTTCGAAAGTAAATACCTTGTGATTCCCTCTTGGGTGAACTATCTTCGTCTTCCTATCGCACGTCGGCTTCGGCTTGGGTAAATCTTTGTAAATTCGGACAACTGAGTTCAAGAAACGAACTTCATTATTTGCACTTCAAATATTCAAATCACATGAAATATAATTAATTGAATGGAAAAAAGATGCTCAATTGGAGACCAACATCCAACCAGGAAACTCTGTAAGATCTCTAGAAGACAGCAGTGGTGTCACCATGAGAAGCTTAAAACCCTAGCAAATTTTACTATCTAGAGGACATGAGAAAAGCAGGACGCAGACTGCAGTCGCATCTGTGCGTTGCATCGCTGATGATCAGCTGATGACTGTCACGCATATTGGAAATATGGCGAAATTGAAACACGCGATCTGGAGTGTTTCTTCTAATTTCGTTGCAAATCGATATTTCTCGCGTTTATTGACGTAAGTCTCAAGCTCTCGCCTTTCATTAATATCTGTTATACTGATTCGAATCGCTTGTCAATCGAAAAACCATTTCCAATTTCATATTCGAATAGAAAGTTTATAGCAATCATTTCGGTACATTTCGTATTGTGATTTGAATGTTTGATCGCATTTATGTATATATAACGATATAATATTATTATAGATTGCAACACTACTTTTGTTCACAGTTCTCAATGGTACAATGCATCTACAGCCTCGATATTAAATAAAACGTCGGAGGAAACAACAACCAAGACGGAAAATGACATAATTATTACAGATAATTGCGTCAAACGTTTAAAAGAGATTACAAACAACAGTGCTTATTTAAGAGTCACGGTGGAAGGTGGAGGCTGCTCTGGTTTTCAATATAAATTTGACTTGGACACAAATGTCAATGAAGATGACAAGTAAGAAATAACTGAAGATGTTTTATAACTGTATTCTCGTTATATCGTAAAGTAATCGAACGTGATATTGCATTACAGAGTATTTCAAAAGGATGGGGCTAAAGTGGTCATAGATTCAACGTCTTTAGAATATATTAAAGGAGCAACAATAGAATATCACACAGAGTTAATACGTTCTGCTTTTAGAATAACTAACAATCCTTTAGCTGAACAAGGTTGCAGTTGTGGGGCTAGCTTTTCTATTAAACTGTAGTAGTGACATGTAGCAGATCTTAACGTAAAGCGAATTTACTTGAACCTTGGCAGTATTGTTACGAATATTTTTAACACCTCTGCCAGAGAAGTATATATCTCTCTAGTTGATTCGACCATGAAATTTGTTATATATTTAATACCGAACGATGCGCAGACGTTTCAATTTCATTTATATTGAGTAAGATACAAGGAAAATATTTAAATTACTGAGCAAGGAACTGTTGTTATCGACGTTACACTGAACAGATTATAAATGTGTAAATGAGACGAGAACGTCTATGTTATGATCTTACGTAACATGATATTTGTTTCGAACATTCACGAGTTGAATGTTAATAAAATTCTTATTTTTATTTTATAAATAAAATAACACGTTCAAAAAATGTCTTAGTATATTACTTTTAGTATGATGAAAAATAACTTTTGCTCATCAGGTCTGAGTTGCGTATGTACATAAAATGCTAATAATTCTGAATAGCGTATGTTGCTGGAATGTCAATACCTGATAATTTACAACCTGACATACACATCACTTCTGCTTTCCCTTTTTACTGTTCTGAAAGAGGACAACTAATGGTATACTGAATGTTCATTTAAAAATGATATTCGCAGAATAGCTACCTTGTTCGCGAGCTGAAATTTCAATTGTTGTATCTCTTCCGTTTGAGAAATCAGCTTCTCGTTCATGTTGGCAAGATGCTCGCTCATAGTACTAAGTTGTGCTTTATAATTTCCTTCTTGTATCTCTTTGTCTTTCAATAGAGTGTTGCAATTTGAAAGCGCTTCCGACAGAGCGGAATCACTTTTTTCTCTTTTCGCCTCACTTGCGTCCAAGTGAACTTGCAGAAATTCGCTCTAACAGAAAAAGAAAGCTTCAGTTGAACGAATGACAGAACGAGCGTTTTAAATAAATCGAGTAAGTATATTTAATTACATTAGCTGCAAGGGCTAAGTTTTGTACACGACAAACATGTTTCTCCGTTATTAACTTATCGATCTCTTGTAGAAAAAAATCTCTAATTTTTGCTTCTCTAGCTTCGATTTCTTCCGGTATGGCAAACGGTACCGTTAATTTCCCAATCTGTTTTACAATAATAAATCAAATTATCTTAAACACAACAGTGCGCTTGAATTACTTAGAATGAAAATTACCATATGATGAATTTCCGCAGGTTGCAGAAGTTCTTGTTCGATTTGCATATTATTTAAACGTTCTCTTTGTTCTACCTCGTCGTATTTTATCTTAAGTATATGATATTCAGCCTTCCAGTGATTCATTTCTTTTTCTAAGTTGCTTAATTTCGAGAGATCAAAATCGTTACTCTCTTCCTGCGCTTTGTGAGGTCGACCGTCTCCAAAGGATTTTGATGATCTGCGCGATGCGGATGGCGATGAAAATGGAGATGGTTCTATTTGTGGATGATTAGATTGTCCTACCCTACTATCAGACTCGTACCCATCTCGTTTACCCTCGTTACTAGACCAAGAGACAGTCTCCTCCTGCCTTTGTCTGTCACTCAACTTCTTTAATAAATCATTTGCTTCTCTTTGTAATTTGTCTATAGTGTTCTGATACTGACATTCTAATTCGATTTTCGACTTCTCACAATAATCTAATTTACATTCTAACTGCTGTATCCTCTCATTCAGAGTTTCAATCTCACTATCCTTGTCGCTGATCTGCGACAGCAGCTGAGCATTCTCGACGATCTTCTTTTGAAATTCCTCATCTAGTAATAAGATATGATTAGGCGATCCCAATACTTGGCTATTATTCTCTGACACTTTGTTCTTCCCCTTCTTAGATTTGTTCTGTGGTTTGTCCAGTTCTTCTTGTAACACAGTGATACGTTTGGTCAGCTGTTGATTTCTGAACGACAAACTGTCCAGCTCTTGTTCGGCTCTTCGAAGTTCGACTTCCTTCTCTTTCAACTGTTCTCGAATATCCGCATTGCGAGCCTGTTCATCGATCACAGCTCTTTTTAAAACATTCGCCTGTGCTCGGATCTGTAAAACGAAAGACTGTGTCAGTGACTTCGCAGTAGACAAAGATATGAAATTGTATCGAGCATGAATGGATCACGCGACAAGGATTACAGATGCGATAGTACAGAAGATATGTACATTACGTAAATGATATTGGACATTCCTTACTTTCGAATATTCTGCAGCGATCTTTTGATATTTCGTTTGCAGTTGCCCATTGGCACCCTCCATACCGTTGTCCATCCTCCTCGTCCTCGTCGTCGCAAATTTCGATAATGACTATTAAAACTTACTCATTTTCGTAATTTCTACCTCGGCACGGTATTTCCTGGCAGGGAATGCATGCATATTAACACCCTAAACACAAATGTCAATGCCAACTGGGTACATCCGAGCCTTTAATGAACTACGCGTAATCGTCGGAGCGAGCATATACGTTCGTGCAACAAATCCTGAACGTAATTTCGTAAATAAGAAACATATATGCACGTCAAACGCCCCCAACGAGATACACTTTTATATGAAATTCTATATTCTCCGCTTAATGACCGTCAATTGTCAAGATACCGTACCGAACAGAAGTTAGTTGTTAGTCGAATTTTAGATGAGGCTCGGTCGATCGTTTATCGACCGATAATAATCGTTTCGATGGATTTTAAAGCCAAAATCAAATGTTCGAATTTTGAGAATTGCTCCCACGTTTTACAGTCAAAGCAATAAGAAACGATGTCCATAATAATATTTAAGTGTTATTGATAGATGGTCTGTTAGTTCTCGTCGTTTTATACCTTATCGATTCACCGCGTGATTATTTTACAAACATCGTTTAATTCAGCTACTGAATTCTTATCTAAAAACCTACTGAATGAAAATGTTTAAAAACTCTTTCAATGCTGCTGGCGCGGTTCGAATCGGTGTTTCCAAAACGTAAAGAGTAAAAAAGAATATCAATAGATTGGCCGAGATATTCTTTATCGCGATTCAATTTCTTTGGGCCTGGCAGACAATTCATTTGGAAAAGCGATCTCTTCTCCTTTTTATTTTCTTTCCGTAATAACGGGCGCAATAAAACTATATGGCGCTAGCCGTTGAAATTTTTCTATTCATGGCTTTATGCCGGGGCGCGTTACGTCCTACTGTTCGGGAGTAGAATCCGGTGTTCGTGTGGAAACTAGTCGCAGCAAACCCGAACGAAACTGAATGAACACCGAACGAGCGCTGCTGCGCGAACAAATCGGCACTCGTTCGATGCCCATTCGGAGTGAATGCTCAAGTGAATGAACGCACTTCCAGGGCACTGGCAACGACGGAACACGAATGTAGCAAACACTGTGTGGACGCATACGATTTTATGTTTCGCGCGTGGCCGTTACCATCCCAATAAACTAGAGAACGTAATACACACTTCGCATTAACTTACTGTTAATGGTACTTTCATGGGCACGTGAAATTTACCGTCGCGGGGCTTGATTAAAGATCATGAGAGGCGAAGAAGAGGATGTATCTTCGTATAAGCTGTTCGCTGTTGAATAAAAACGGTCGGATATCATCGAGAGCCGATAAGCGGAGTTTGCTCGTCGAGGCTCGAGTCGTTGGGGTTATTGTTTTTGTCGGTTACCGGTTTCCCCCGGCGAAGCGGAGCGCCCCTTGACTATCTCCCACGGTAAAGGGTAGTCGCATGTACATCGCATCGCAGTCTTTCTTCCGCGGCGAAGAGGGATGCGTCGTATTTGTCGGTGGATACACCGTCGGTCTCCTCCGTCGCTCGCGCTTGCCTTCTGAATACGTTTCCCGTCTCCAACCCCGGCGAGAGGAGCGAGGCCAGAGTCTTGTCAAGCGAACAGTGGCTGGGAGCTGCTCCCTTTTACTCGCTTTTCTGTATCTATCCAGAGAAACGTATACGTATAACCCCGCATTAGTCACGCTCGTTGGAGCTTCTTTCTTAGTGAATCTCTCCATCGTAGACGCGACCGGCATTAACTAGGTCGGGTGGGGGGCGGCCGGAGGGCCACGGCTCCAGGTAAGAAGAGACGGAAAGGTTACGCCTCTTTCCGATCTCTTCCTCTTTTCCACCTTCGCAGACCCTCGGATTTACCTTGCCCACCCGCGTCCCGCGTTGGAAAATGAAAGCATCCAGATTTAACGAGCCGGCTCCGTGTCGCTTGTTTCAGCTCGGGAACGGAACGGAACTGAACGGAGTCGCGCGGTTATCGAGTGAAAGGTAAATCTTCTTTTGGATAACCGATCGACTCTCTTTACTATCGCCACGGGACGTCGCCGACGTTATATACCTCCGGTTAACCGGTTTATTGATTGTTCCAGGGAAAATACTCGATGAGAGAGTTCAGTCATAATGGTGACCGTCCAATGAAATTACGCTTAATTGTACTTCTGTTTAATTCAGTACGAACCGAGGCGATCTCGCGCGCAGGCGTAATGCGAACGCTTTTATTCAACTACGGGTGGGGAGGCGTTAATTGTAAAAAGAAAATATAGCAGTTTCTAATTTCTGCTCAAGATTAATCGCGCACCGCTCGGGATTAACGAGAGCCCCGAATCAAGGCAATACGGTATCGCTCGTATCTGTTATTGATTAAGTTGGCACTGAATTTTAAAGCAGTACGAACGCGCGATATATAATGTGACGCGAATCGCAATAAACGAGCGCACCAGATGGCTAGTTGCCGAGACTTTCGCGAAACAATCGCAAACATTTTGAAAGCCCATATAACCAGAACTCTCATGCAATGGGTGATCAAAGTTGAAGGTCGGGCACGTATTTGTTTAGTTCGCTAGCGTGCATACATATACACGTATGTACAGTCGCAGTTGGTAGATTGCATCGCGCATCCTGGATGGAGTATTTATCGTCGAGCGTTATAGCTTTTTTGTATCCGAATTTGTTTCCATACGTTATGGCCATTCGCTTAGCTTAAAGTCGAATTTAATATTAAATACTTCAGTTCCTAGTGTTTCAACTCGATCACTTGTTTCAGCTGTTTGGCTATTAAAATTTCAGCTATTGAACTTGACAATTGCATATCGCATTATCTCGATTAATTAATAAATAAAATTGTTTATTCCAAAAACTTTTGAAAGATTGTAGCTCCATTTGCCAGATATAAGAAAGGTTCTTTGCAATTTCCTTATAACTTCACTCGTTAAGGAATAATTAGCGGCGAACGAAATAATTAATCGATTACTTCTGAAGTATCACTTCTGAAGTATTCGAGATAGAAGAAAATTGTATACGATCTCTTTTGCAGGTAACAGCAATACCTACAACTATTATTCGAAGCATTTTTCGATGTTTCGAGAAACAAAGATTTTAATTTTTCCGAGATTTTATCAAGGGTTCTCGTTTTTTGTCAAATACTCGTTAACTATCGACGCTGGCGAAGAATGTTTCAGACAAAAGTTGTAGCTACAGTTATTATCTACAGATAATGTCCTATGCAATTTCCCCGTAGGTCTAACAGTGTACGAGTATTTAAGAGAAAACGAAATTTTTTGTTAAAAGTTTACTGTTTCGGCGGAGGAACGGGCGGACTTTGTCAGTGCCAATAAAATGCCGATTAATCGTACTTAACTCGTTAAATACCGGAGTTATAAGAAAAATGCATAGAATCTTTCTTGTAGAGGACGTCAATACCTACGACTTCTGTATAAAAAGTTTTTTGCCTACGTCCGTTAATACTGCGCAGCTCTTTTTTTTTTTTCTTTTCATAGACGATAACAGACAGTGGCCTATTAAATGGGAGTCTATTTTTTTAAGTAGCTGAAGTGTATCCTGCGCCGTTCATCGCAGCAGCTGGAGAACGCGGTGTAAGAGAAACGGTCTACGCCCTAATCGCTCGGCCGCATCTCTCGTACTTGCGCCAGTGTTCTAGAGCACTCGCTCGTTTCCCGCCCCCATTATTTTCGCAAGCACGAGGTTGTTTCTGACGTCCGGCAGCTTCTGCAACTAGACTAGCATTCCGCATATATTATACACGTATAGTCATTAGTCGATCTTCTGTCGTTTTATTCGCAAACATACCCACAAACACGGCCGGCTCTTGGCTTAATTGTTCTCAGACGCCGGTACGAGAAAAATAAGGAAAATTAGCATGCGTCAAATGGAACACGTTCCTTGAAATTAAATTCGTCCTTTGACATATTGATTAAGCGCAGTCTGAGAACGATAGTCTCGATCTACTTAAAACATGAGTCGACGTCGGAAGACCCAGACGGCAGTCGCGTAAAAATACCACCAGGAGAGACCTGATAAACGCGACATATAACTACGAGTTTTGATTCAAATATTTGGTAGACATGAAACCCATCCACGAGTTGTTGAAACGTTTCGTTGCTCTTTTTGGGATTGATTTGGCAAACATCCTCGAGCGCTATCTCAATCCTGCGAAAGTGGTTTGCAGATTCAGAATCGAGATTAGCTAATTCCGACTCGGGATCGAGATTAGCTAATTCTAATTGTAAGTCACTTTCTAGTGCCCGGGGGAGTCGGCTGGCCAGCCACCGCCTCCTCGGGTCAAACACGGAAGACTCTAGTCTCGTTTGCACTGATCTAGAAAGTCTTTGAAGTTCACTCGATATAGACGAAGTACAATGGGTCTCTTAACGTTCAAGAAATCTTCAGAAGCATCTTCTTACATGTCTTACAAACACCTGTATTTACACGTGGCAGTCTATGCTCCGATCGATTTTTCGATCTTTCGAAAAGCATCGCTCTTCTCGTGACACGTTCCATTAAAAATTTATCAATGATAGAAAACGAACGAAGCTGGAAATGAAATAAACGAGACACGTTAAATTTTGCTTCTAAATGGCATACAAGGAACGTATTCAAAGATTATGAATCGTCTTTTACGAATCCACATCGCATTGGCCGCGTGTACGTGAATTACAAATGATACGAGCATTGCCGGGAAATATATGATATATGAGCTTGCATCCTGGGGTACATGTAACCTGTCGCGGGTGTGTTGAACGGAATACGTACACGATTTTCCAGCACGCACACGTGCCCATCGCACGGTGCACGGTATGCATGTGTGGTATGTAGTACGTCGATATCATGCTGCAGTGCCGAAAATATGCAGCAGATATGTACGTACGTACGTACGTATATGTAGGTACTATGTTACATAGGCAGAGGTAGACACAATAAGCAGGAGTATGCGATCTGCCAGTTTGCACCGTACTTCGGTACATATACATACGTATGTATCTGTACATCTCTTTTACGATTGTTCATCGTTTTTTATTCGCCTTCTTATATATGTATGTATGTACGTATCTATACGCGTACCCGTATCATCGATTTCACGGTTTTTCTACGTTCTACCTAGTTACCGATGAAATACGATGGAACTACTCATTATCCCCTTTATCATTAGTCTCTACATAAACAAATTTTGATATTCTGTCTACATTAACAGGGATAAAAAAATATCCTCGAATTGTTCATTAGGAAGTATTAATTAGAGCGCTTTTCGTTAGAATAAAATATGGACCACTGCGTACATCAAACTTTACTCTTCTTCAACTAAGGGGAATAATGTAGATTTGAAAATGGTAAAGGACGCTGTGAACATTCATTAATTTTTCCACGATTTTATATGACACTAATTTTTTGTCGCTTGCCGCGTCGCAGTAAAACAGTTTAATTCCATCTTTAATCTCGACTTTTTTTGTTGTGTCTGCCATTTCTATCCTTGCTTTAGTACGGTATCATTTTTTATTGCTTATACTCATTCACTCTTCTACTATGCCGTTCTCTCGGTTCTTTTTGTCTTTTACCCTTTTGGTTACCTACCATTACTACCGGTAGCTACCATCTCAGCTGCCCCGTGAACGCACTGTTTGCTTCTCGTTACCGGGATATTTGTTTATGATTTGATACCGTGTTCCTAGGTCATAGCAAATAATATAGGTGGTTAGCGACATGGGACCAGCGCAACCTGACGTTTCAGACAGTAATCGCGCGTTTTAACCACAGATTTTAACACGTTTCTTTCAACCTCTGAACGTACGATATTCGTCAGCACGTCGTTAGCATCGCGATAAATATATTTTAAGAAATAGGATCCCTTCTAATTTATGAACATTATTTGTGTCGTTAATAAGTAGATATAAAAGATGCATCATGAAAAGTATCAATTATTTTCTGTTCACAGTAAGCTTAGAACAAGCCGATTTAAAATAATCCTCTCTACACAGGACATTCAAAAGAAACTTCAGTGCATGTATTCAGAAATAACGAGCAAAAAATGATTAATAGCAAAACGGTCATTAGTTAGAAAAAAAGTTAAGATGTATAATCTGATACTGGGAAATAATATTTTTCATCATCGTTTCCATTTTTCAAAGACTGTCTCGCTCCTTAATTTTCAAGGAACGTGTGAAAATCAAATATTGAACCTTTCAGACTATGTACGCAAAAACGAAACGAAAAAAAAAAGAAAGAAGGAACGAAATTGATTAGTGCGAGGTTCGAAAGAAATAAAGTCGAACAATGAGATTGGTGGTGAAATATTCAAGGAGACACGGCAACGAGCTATCATTGGCTTACGAATCCAGACCCTTGAAGCTGATATCTCGAGCGCACAAAAAGCCGTCGGACGCTTTAAATTTACATTTCGGTGGTCTGACCACTTCTTGCGTATTCCAAATCCCGAAAAGTTTCGTACCTTTGAAAAGAGAAATCTAGAGTATCACGAAATCTTCCATGTAATCCGAGGACACATTAATCAATTAATAATGAGACGGCGACGAAGTCTGATCGACTTGTGTTTGAAGCGTGAAAAAATTAGAAATCAAATGGAATAATTCGGAGTGCCACAGGACGGTGAATGCAATTCGATTATCGAATCACTTTGT